ATGTTGCTTTCAGTATCAGTTAAGTCATTCTTTCTGACTACAGAGTATTATCCCACTATATGACCATATGATAATTTGTTTATTCTCCTGTTGATGAACATTTGGGCTGTTTCCACTTGTGGGCTATTACGAATAAAGCCACTACAGACATTCCTATATAAGCCTTTTTGGGGATAGTTGCTTTCATTTCTCATAGGTAAATACCCAGGAGTGAAATTGCTGGGTCAAAGATGTGGTTTAACTTTTTAAGAAACTGCCAAATAGTTTTCCAAATTGGTTGTATCAGTTTAAAGTGTGACTGGCAGTGCATGAGAATTTTAGTCACTGTACATCCTTGCTGACATTTGGTGTTTGTAATCTTTTTTTAAAAATCAACTTTATTAAGGTATAATTTACATAAAATAAAATATACCTATTTTAAGTAGAGATAAGTTTTTTTCAAATGTACAACCCTATTCAGACACCACCATAATCAAGATGTAGATCATTTCCATCACCCAAAAAAGTTCCCTTGTGCATCTTTGCAGTTAATACATCCTCAGTGTAAAGCAACCACTGACGGTCTTTCTTTCACTATAGTTTTTGCCTGTTTTATATTTACATATAAATGAAATTACATAGTATGTACTCTTTTATGGCTGGCTTCTTTAACTTCATATTTTTGAGACTCAACCAGGTTGTCATATATATCAGCAGTGTGGTTCTTTTCACCTGCAGAGTAATACTCCATTGTATGAATATATCACAATTAATCTACCCATTTATCTGTTCAGGGACATTTAGCCTATTATGTGTTTAGCTATCATGAGTAAACACTACTGTTCAAGTCTCTGTGTGGACATACATGTTCATTTCATGAAGAGTGATCCTGTTGGAACAGGATATGCTTAAAGAATCTGCCAAACTGTTTTCAAAAGTGGTTGTGTCATTTCATATCTCCACCAACAAAGTACTATAGTTCTTGTTGCTTCGCATCTTCATCAATATTCAGCGTTGTCCGTCTTTGTAGCCATTGTACTGGGTGTAAAATGATACCTCATTGTGGTTTTAATTCATGCTTCCTTGATGAACAATGATGTTGAGCACCACTTTTTCATGTGCTTTTTGACCATCACTTGAACCTGTCTATTCATGTCTTTGGCCCATTTTTACTGGTTTGTTAGTCCTTTTCTTATCAATTTGTAGGCGTTTTTTATATGTTATGTATATAGGTCCTTTGTCAATATATGTACTGAAAATATTTTCTCCCATTCCACGGCTTGCCTTTTCATTTTCTTTTTTTTTTTAACATTTTTTATTGATTTATAATCATTTTGTCCTTTGTCAATATATGTACTGAAAATATTTTCTCCCATTCCACGGCTTGCCTTTTCATTTTC